GCGCAATCTCGCTCTCAATCAGAAACTTCGCTCTCAATCACACGAAAACCTTGTTAAGGGCGGGAAATCAGCGCCGGTGCATTTCGGTACACCAACAAGACGGACGAGTGTGTATGCATACATTGTGCACGACTCGGTCATGGGACATGATCTGATACTAGGAGGGACAGCTGGGCTGATTTTCCAGTTCGGAAATTCCAACACGTGTTGGACGCAGAAACAATTGTCACTTTTGTCGGTGCAAATACTGATAGAGTGGCAGGAGATCACCGCTTTGATGAATGGGTAGGTAACGTGGTTGGTATGGTGGAAACGGAAGGGGATGGAAAGGTGGTGGTGAAATCTAATGGTAGTAGACGATGGCTTCCAAATGCAATATCATGGGTTGAGGTAAAATTGACCAACCTAGATGGCAGTGACGCTGCGGTGGGGACGTACCGTGTGCAGTTTGGGAAGAAGTGGTTCCCGCGAGAAGCGCTAGTCGAAAATGGCACGTCTGAAATTCCGTTAAGAAGAGTGGGGGATAGCTCGTGTCTGGTGAAACCAAACGATATTTTGGGGTATGGTGGTGAACCCCTGGAGGTGATGAATTCGGACGATGATGCTCGTTTGGTGGAAATGAGGAATTCGAAAATGTATTTGCGGTTCAGGAGCGTGAAAAGGTTGGCATGCCTGACGACGAACCTCCCGCTGATGCTATGTCTTCTTTGAATGGGGCGCAACAGGTGGCGTTCAGACGGTTGTGGCAGAGGGTGCCTCCGCACATTCGAGACGTCCATTTCGACTTCAGTGCGAAACTGTGGGAGCCGGAGGACATTGACAATCTAGGTGATATAGTGTGCAAGTTTGAGCATCGTTTTTCGAAGGGTGGTTCGGATTTAGGACGAGTGACGGTCGATCCGTTTCGAATCATTTTGAAGACGGGGGCACATCCAGTGCGGCAGAAGCCATATCGCTATTCGCCGGTAATGAACGAAAAGGTGCAGATCGAAGTTGACAAACTGCTGTTGGCGGGTGTGTTGCGGAGATCGTACAGCAATTGGGCGAGTCCGCTGGTGGTAGTCGCGAAGGCTAACGGTGGTGTACGGTTGACGGTCAACTACAATCGCATCAATAAAATTAGTGTAATCCCGACATTGCCCATTCCGATAGTGGAGGATATTTTGGCGGAATTGGACGAATCGAAAATCTTCAGTACGCTGGATTTGGTCAGTGGGTTTTTCCAGTGCAGTATTGAGAAGGACAGCATTCCGATCACTGCTGTTATCACGCCTACGGGGTTGTACGAATTTTTATCCGTGCTGCAAGGTCTCAGTAGTAGTCCTGGGTGGTTCCATTCGGTGATGGCCAGAGTATGTGACGGGCTGGAACGTGTGCGCGTGTTCATCGATGACGTGATCGTTTTTTCCAGGGACGAGGCAGAACACGTGCGCGACCTGGAGAGGTTTTTCGAGCGCATGGTCAAGTTCAACCTGAAACTGGCACCCAAGAAGACGAACCTAGGGGTGAAGGTGGTGACGTTCTTGGGACATCAAGTCACGGCGGAAGGGATCGGGCCGGGCCCGGAAAAGGTCAGACCGCTGCGTGAAGTGCCAATGCCCACTAATGTTGGCCAGTAGCGATCGTTGCTGGGGTCCTTGTCGTACTATCGAAAGTTCCTGAAGAACACGTCGGCAAAATTGAAACCGATCAGTGCGATGCTGAACAAGGGGGCGAAGTTTACGACCACGGCTGATCATGTGGCAGTAGTGAGGAAAATGATGGATGCTCTGTCTGGCCCTGAAGTTCTGGCATTTCCGTGTTATGAAGGTGCAACCTCGGGAAAGCGGCCGTTTTGGTTAACCGCTGATGCGTCGATTTCGGGCTTGGGAGCCGTAATCGAGCAAGAGCAACGCGATGGAAGTATTAGACCGCTATGCATTTTGAGCAGATCATCATTCGCGAATGAAACGAGATTGAGTCCGACTGAGCTTGAAGCGGGTGCGATAGTGTGGGCGATAAAGAAGAATCGAACACTATTTTGTGGCATCCCCTTTGAAGTGTACAGCGACCACAAACCATTGCGGAATTTGGGGAGTTTTACAGAGAGAGGTGGTATGACTTCCTGTCAGCGTACACGTAGGAACAGAAGTTTCGACCAGGGTTTAATGGCATCCCCTTTGAAGTGTACAGCGACCACCAACCCTTACGGAAATTGGGGAGTTTGGCAGAGAAAAATGATCGCGTACAGAGGTGGTATGACTTCCTGTCAGCGTACACGTATGAACAGAAGTTTCGACCAGGGCGAGAGGATGCAAATGCCGATTTGATGTCACGGCTGCCATTACCTGCGACGAAAGAGGATGAGGCACCAGATGTCAGGCTAACTGGTCCGTCTGATCTCGATCTTTGTATGATAGGTGCGAGCGGGGTGCTACCTTCGCGATTGGGTCCGGTGTACACCGAGCGAGAGGCGCTCGCTGGGTTGAACCATCGCGATGATTTTTTGGTGGGGGAAAGTGGTTGTGCATGGGCAAACCTCACTGCGGATGAACCGGCAGACAAGACGTGGGCGCTGATCCAAAGGGAAAAGGGCGTGTCCAACCCTTTGCCTGATGGTGCGTGTGTGCCTGATGACACCCGGATTGTGGAACCGAATGAGGAAGTAATCAGTGGTCAGTTTGAGCCAGGGCTGATACTACATGCTGTTCCTTCAACGGAAGTTGGCAGACGCTTGTTAGGATTGGTGGAAAAACCGCGAGTGTATGCTATTTCTCAAGGAGGGGGCAGTGTCTCTGGTGGTGGCGGTAGTAGCAGTAACGCTTGGGGGAGTAGGGCTGTTGCTGGTGGTGGTGGCAGTAATGCTCGTAGTAGCAGGACTGTTGCGTGTGGAAGGGGTCGAGGTGGTGCGGCTCGAGGAGGAGGGGTTGCTGGTTCGCGTAGGGGAAGGGGTTCCGGGGGCAGAGGTCCAGCAGCACCTCCGTTGCCTCAAATTCAGTTGCAAGAGTATGATTAAAAACAAACGCAAGCGGCAATTGAATATGGGGGGAATTTATGTGGTAAGACAGCGGGTGATTGGGCGGACATTCAGGGGGAAGGAAATACGGCGCGATTAGCAATTAAGGCCATTGAAGGGCATGCCGATCCAAAGAGGATGGAGAAGGGTGATATTCCGAACAACGTAGATGTAGATTTGAATGAGTTGAAGCGGTTGGTGGCACAGGGTACTTTGTTGGTGTTGCCGAATTCGAAGCATTTGTTGGTGAGGAAAGAATTGAAAGCCCCTGCGGGAAATCCAAATCGAAATCCAGGGCAATTTGAGAGGTTGGTTGGTGAAGAGTCCGTTCGGACGTATGTGCCTAGGATGTTTAGACCATGGGTCATGGATTGCGCTCACAACGAAGCAGTGCATTTGGGAGGGAAAGTGACTCTAGGAATTCGACAGAGGGTGTATTGGTGGATAGGAATGGCGGAAAGCGTACGTTGGTGGATCCGCAGGTGTTATTCTTGTCAGTTTCGGAAAGTGCCACGGCATACAAAGTGTTGGCCGTTAGTGTCTTTGCCTCTTCCGAGCAGACCGGCACAGGTGGTGTCGTTTGACTATTTGGGTCCGCAACGAAAGGCAACGAGTATGTGTTCCTGGTGGTACATATATTCAGCAGACATGCCGAGGGCTACCCACTAACGAAGGCGCGGAAGAACGCGAAGAGTATTGTGTCCGTCATGGTGAACGATTATATTGCGAGGTGGGGTTGTCCGGACACCATGTTGTCGGATAGAGGAGCAGAGTTTGCGAATAAGGCAGCGAAAGGGGTGTATAAGATGCTGGGGACGGTGAAGAAGTTTACTAGCTCTTATCATCCGCAGACGAATGGGATGGTTGAACGATTAAGTCACACATTGTGTCAAATGTTGTCACACTTAAATGCAGACGATCAGGCGAACTGGGATGAGATGTTGCCACACGCGGTAGCGGCACACAACAATAACGTGAGCCGAGGGACGGGGTTAGCACCAAACGTAGTACACATCGGAAGATAGGCGAGGCTGCCGATGACGATCTTGGAGGGAAGAGGCGTTTCGGGAAATCAGGGCCTGAAGCAAGACCAATTGGATTATTAGAATTTGATGAGGGATAAGCAGAAGAAAGCGTACGAGCTGGTTAGAGAGCAGGAAAAGATAACCAAGGCTAAGCATGAGAAGAGAAATCAGGTGTTGAACTCGATAATAGGAAAGAGACCGAAGTATAAAGAAGGAGGCTGGGTCCTGGTGTATGATGAGAAGAATAAGATTTCTGGTCGGGGAAACACGTGCTTAAATCGCGAGTGTATAGTAGGGGGAAAGAAAAATCGTTCGCGTTGATCCCGTAGTTGGCACACAATTGGCCTGGCCCGTATAAGGTGTTGATCGTTGGTCCAGGGGATGGTCTTGACGGAGAAAAGGTGGGCCCGAATATTTTGTATTTGGACGTGAATGAGGATGAGCCCGGAAAGAAGATTACCGAGAGGGTGTCGGTATATCGGTGTAAGAAGTGCTATACTCAGCACGAGAACGAGGATAGACCTACGTTCTTGCCGTGGGGCTTCAGCAAGTGTGTGTTGAATAATTTTTCAGAATTGGCGCCTCCGTTCCATGTTACGGCAGAAGACGTGGAGGAAGGATTGGATAGTAAGGAATTGGTCCCGTGTAAAATATCAGGGCACAGAATTTGTCGAGGTATCAGTGGGAAGGGGCGGTTCAGTACTACACGCATTGGACGGGGTTGGCTAAGTGTACGTGGGAGCATGAAGTAGAGTTGGAGCAATATGGGGACGTGGTACTTAGATATTGGAATAGGCAGCCGGAACAATCGGCCGGAGGGAACATAAGGTACCGGAGGTACCGTATTCAGGGTGCAAAACGGATGATTGCTAGCAGGAAGGGAGAAAGACACGTGCAGAAAAATTACATTGTTGTGACATACGGGGTAGTAGGCCGAGTCTTCGAAGTAAGGCGATGATTGGTGCCCATTTATATTTGAAGACCGTGAGGGCGGGGTGGCAATTTGCGAATGTGATGCAGGTGACTCTGGATCCCAGGTGGGAAGAAGGCATCAAGCATACTATCAAGCTGGTGGACATCGGCAAAAACATCAATGTGGCGCTTCTGGAGAAGAATCTGACGACGGACAACCTGGTACAAAATCCAGGAACGTGGTGCTGGCATGCACACCGAACGGCGAAAAGTGTCAAGAAGTACATCTTTGAGTTGGAAGATGATAAGGTGTTTTAATTTGAAGTGCGTGGGACTGCGGAAAAGTGTGCCAAGTGGTGCAGTCGAATACGGGTCAAAATTTATGAGGTGTTCTTGAAGTGCGTAGGACTGCGGAAAAGTGTGCCAAGTGGTGCAGCAGTCGAATACGGGTAAAAAAAATTAATGCTGTGCTGAGCAATTCCTGTTTTGGCTAAAGAATGTACCTTGTGATGGAGTCATATTGCATTGGTACCACGGTCTTGACGGAATTGGAGAGAGAGTGTGTGCACTGCATCAGTTGAATTCTGGTGATTTATGTTCGGACTTGCTGCAAGGAAATGACACTGGTTGTAGGTCAGGTATTGCATGTTGTGGTCAATCAAGTGTTAATTCAAACGAGACTGTTCGCAGATAAGTATGCGTTGAACCTGGGGGGGCGAATGTCGTGCAATAAGTCAATCAACCGTAGGTAAGGTCAGGGTAAGAAGACTTGGGGTAGGGTAATCGCAGGATATATGTTGAGGCGTGATGGAATGGACTTGGAATCGATGGCTTTGGGAGCAGGGTTGGAGTTAGTTCTGGTTGAGATATCGTCAAATAAGTTCATGAAAAGTGTATGAGCTGGAGACTAGAATCGAGCAGGTGTGGGTTTATGGTTGGAATGATGAGCTTAGGGGGGAATTGCAGTTATTTGGAGTGAAAGTGAGAGAGAGTTGCAGAGAAAGTGAAGCGGCGCAATTGGATAGATACAGAGAAAGCGGCGCAATTAGCTCGCGTCAGCTGATGTCGCGTGCCCA